TCAACCTGCCTATTCCATAAACACTAATGCCCCCCCATACCATCCGGTCCCTCTTTAGTCCAGGAGAAAATAGTACCTATGGTTGCCAAGAAAAAAATGTCAACGTTCAATTCTTCTGACAAGAGAACTGTTTCACACTTGGCCACAGACCACTGTAAATGAGCTCTGGTCCAGAGAACATATCAGCGTGTCTGGATGATCGATATAACGACTTCTTTGCAGGACAAAACTTGCATTTTTGGATGGCATGGCTAGCTGTGTTCATAGACAGCGATTTCTAGAGGTTTTCCTGAGCCCATGCAGAGATGTCACCACAGAATCATGCCTGTATTTTAATGCAGTGGTGTCTGAGGGCCCAGAGATCACAGGCATCAAATACTGCATTCCTGCCTTGTGCTCAGATTTCCCCAGATTCTCTGAATCTTCATATTCTGTACCGTAGTGTGATCAGAATCTATTTTTATACCCAATCACATTACTGACCTGTGGCCAATTAAAACCTAAACCCAAAATGTCCCTCCAGCTCTCGTTAGTGCTACTTACTTTTCCAGCTTTTTGTTGCCCTGTCCCAACTTTTTTGAGATGTGTTGCTGTCATCAATTTCTAAAGATAGTCATACATTATACAATGTGATCGTACAATCTCCTTTAGAGATACCATCAACTATGCAGCAAAAAAGCCTTCCTTATCAGATACAGATTGAAAGGATTGTTCAGGTTTGTCCTCATATTACATCATTTTGGTACATCTAAAGAAGACTGTATGGCCAGCTTAATGGTGACTAAGCACACTTAAAGCAGAGCTCCAGGCAAAATTAAATAAAAGTCAGCAGCTACAAAAACTGTAGCTGCTGACTTTTAAAAAACAGACACTCACCTGTCCCTCGATCCTGCGGTGTCCTCATCGCACCCAGGTTCACCGCTGTCCTGTGTCCCCAGCACCAACATCTTCAGTGTGCGCACCCGGCTGTGACAGCTTGTGCCTTCACAGCCGGGTGCCCACTGCGCATGCGTGAGAAGCGCTGCCTTTGTGAATGATCCTGTAGTCTTCTGGGACCTGTCACTTGTCCCAGAAGACTAGAGAGGGAGCGGGGAGGACAACTTCAACTTCCGAACGCCTAGGTGATCGCAGTGGAAGAGAGAGTGGGTACCTGACAAATTCAGTAACCACCCCTCCCGATCCAGGAAGGTGCCAATACTTAATGGAGAGCGGAGGATGAGGCCTTACAGAGGAACGTCCCCTTTTGGGTGGAGCTCTGCTTTAAGCTGGCCATAAACAGATCAAAACCCGTCCGGTTCAGCAGGAATGGGACGAATATTGATCCATGTATCGGCAGGCTTGTTGTACAGAAGTCGACCTTGATTGATTTCTGTACAACCAGCACTGCAGGAGTAATTCTCCCATCAACACTGGCAATGTTGATGGGGGAATTGAGTGATTTCTGCAGCACCATGCGATTTTGCACACCCAAAAAACACGCTGCATTTTACGATGCATGGGGGGGTACCATTAAGAATGAATGGCACCCCCGTGTGTCTGCTAAAGAGCAGTACATTATGGCTGTGAAAGCCTGTGGGAACTAGGGTTGCACCAATACTGAGCATTGACACAAGTACTTGTACTCGTGCAAACGCTCTGATATCTAAAACTGATACCTTTGTGGGTCCAAAGTGAATGGGCTCAAACTGCACTGCAAAGAATCAAATATGATTTGAACAGGAATCCCTGAGGGTGCGGTGTGGTTTCAGCCATACAAAATGAATGGCACCGCACCTGCAGGGAAACCCGCATGTGATTCAGACAGGAATTGCACCACATTCCTGATCGCATGTAATTCTTTGCAGTGCAATTTGATCCCAGTCATTTTGTATGGGCTCAAACTGCATATATATTGTTATTTGAGTCCAAGTATCACTACTCGTACTAGCCGATAAAACGGTATCGGTGCAACCGTACAGAGAATGCATGTGATGTACGCTTGGTCCCACATCCACCTACATATGAATCTAGACTTAGGCTAGGTTCACACCTATACAGTTTTTACATTTGATCAGTTTCTGCAGTGCGTTTTGCATTTCTTGCACAGGCATTTTTGACACGTTTTATTTTTTTCCCCCCAACTTGTTGCCATACAGATTAAAATGCAAAACGCATAAAAAACACACTGCATGCTTTTCTGCAGCATCTCCATTGAAGTCTATTGAAACAAAAAACACAACTTTTGTGTTTAACCACTCACCTACAGGGCACTTATACCCCCTTCCTGCCCAGGCCAATTTCTAGCTTTCAGCGCTGTCACACTTTGAGTGACAATTGCGCGGTCATGCAACACTGCACCCATATTAAATTTTTATCATTTTTTTAATGACAGGTAGAGCTTTCTTTTGGTGGTAATTAATTACCTCTGGGTTGTTTATTTGTTCTTAAACCAAAAACCACTGAAAAAAATTTTGAAAAAAAATAAAGTTTCTTAGTTTTTGTTATAAAATTTTGTAAATAAGTGATTTTTCTCCTTCACTGGTGTGCGCTAATGAGGCTGCACTGATAGGCTGCACAGATGGACACTGATAGGTGGCACTGATGAGCATTGACAGGCATCACTGATTGGCAGCACTGATAGGCGGCACTGATATGTTCCATTGATGTGGCACTGATGGGCACTGGCACGAGGCATTGATGGGCACTGACAGGTGGCACTGATGGGGCTACACTGATTATCAGTGCCCTGATGATCAGTGTACATGTCCCCTCTGCGGAAAGCAGATTACCGGCTCTCCTCTCCTCTGTCAGCGTGACAGCTCGAGAAGAGAGAAATGCCGATAACCGGCATTTCCCTGTTTACATGTGATCAGCTGTGATTGGACACAGCTGATCACATGACCGAGCCGACATCTTCGGCTCTTTCCGTGGATCGGCGATCTGCTGTGTCCGAGGGACATAGCGCACTGCCGATCGCCACGCGCTCCCTGAGCCGCTCATGCGCTCATATGACGTCCTCCCAGAATGAGAGAACCGCCTTGCGTCCCTCATATTACTATATGGCGGGCGGCGGTTAAAAAAGTCCCTGACCCTTTCCCAAAAAACACAGAGATGTGAACGTGTCCCATAGGAAGTCACATTACATGGACTGCTGTGTGTTTCTGCAAAACGCAACAGAAACTGCATAGGTGTGAACTTAGTGTCACCCTCCGTTCACATCAAGCCCGACTTTGAAATTGTGCGACTTATAGTGAAGTCGCACGATTTCAAAGTGCGATTTGCAAGACATCGGATACAGCAGATGTCTATGGAAATCACACCAAAAGTAGTGCATGTACTAATTATGAAATCAATGCGGCTGCGACCAAGTCAGAACTACACCGATATGATGCTCCAATTGTGGACAATAGGGTGCGACTTGGCATGCGATTTGCAAGTTCCAGGACATGCAGATCACATCCAGTGTGAACCAGAGCTTAGGGAAGATTCCTAATTGTGGGTAGGTAACGTGTGCGTCCCTGACCTGCAGGCAAAACACCCTGCTCATTTCCAGAGGACCCCACTGAGGGGAGTCTGATAGTACATGGCTGCTAGATGGAAAGGAGAAAGCACAGATGGGATCGTGTATGGGACGGACGGACGCACCTTCACAGATGGGATCGTGTATGGGACGGACGGACGCACCTTCACAGATCGGATCGTGTATGGGACGGACGCACCTTCACAGATCGGATCGTGTATGGGACGGACGCACCTTCACAGATCGGATCGTGTATGGGACGGACGCACCTTCACAGATCAGATCGTGTATGGGACGGACGCACCTTCACAGATCAGATCGTGTATGGGACGGACGCACCTTCACAGATCAGATCGTGTATGGGACGGACGCACCTTCACAGATCAGATCGTGTATGGGACGGACGCACCTTCACAGATCAGATCGTGTATGGGACGGACGCACCTTCACAGATCAGATCGTGTATCGTGGGACGGACGCACCTTCACAGATCAGATCGTGTATGGGACGGACGCACCTTCACAGATCAGATCGTGTATGGGACGGACGCACCTTCACAGATCAGATCGTGTATGGGACGGACGCACCTTCACAGATCAGATCGTGTATGGGACGGACGCACCTTCACAGATCAGATCGTGTATGGGACGGACGCACCTTCACAGATCAGATCGTGTATGGGACGGACGCACCTTCACAGATCAGATCGTGTATGGGACGGACGCACCTTCACAGATCAGATCGTGTATGGGACGGACGCACCTTCACAGATCAGATCGTGTATGGGACGGACGCACCTTCACAGATCAGATCGTGTACGGGACGGACGCACCTTCACAGATCAGATCGTGTATGGGACGGACGCACCTTCACAGATCAGATCGTGTACGGGACGGACGCACCTTCACAGATCAGATCGTGTATGGGACGGACGCACCTTCACAGATCAGATCGTGTATGGGACGGTGCAGACGGATGCACCTTCACAGATCAGATCGTGTACGGGACGGACGCACCTTCACAGATCAGATCGTGTATGGGACGGACGCACCTTCACAGATCAGATCGTGTACGGGACGGACGCACCTTCACAGATCAGATCGTGTATGGGACGGACGCACCTTCACAGATCAGATCGTGTATGGGACGGTGCAGACGGATGCACCTTCACAGATCAGATCGTGTATGGGACGGACGCACCTTCACAGATCAGATCGTGTATGGGACGGAAGGATACACCTTCACAGATCGGATCGTGTATGGGACGGACGGATACACCTTCACAGATCGGATCGTGTATGGGATGGACGGATACACCTTCACAGATGATGGCTGTGCCCCCCGAGTGGTGTGTGTGAACTCCCTGGACAATGGGAACAATGTATGGCCACCTCTGGCCTGCACCTCCCCCCATACCACACACATCACCTACTACACAGCTCCCCGGCCTCCTCCACACACAGCTCCCCGGCCTCCTCCACACACAGCTCCGCTCCCTCACCTTGTCACAGTACCGCCCGACCAGCTGCTTCATCCTCCAGTGCGGCCCGGTGAACACATCCACCTCGTCCGGGAAAGGAGCCATTCTCCACTCTCCATACAGAGCTCTGCACGCCCGGAGATCTCAGGCAGCCCACTAAAGGCTCCAACGATGCTCACAGGAATCCACCAACAGCAACAACCCTCCTCCTCATTACAAGTGCGCAACTACGGCCTAACACACACTACGCAAGCGCGGCTCCCCCCTCACCAACCCACAGACCACATTTCACGGCGCATGCGTACTCCTAAATTTCATGCACGATCCGTCTGGTATCTTATGGCGCATGCGCCTCTCTGTGTGCCCGCGTGCTGGTCAAGTCCTTTTGTCACACCCACATGATCTGCTGGCTGTGCTCTGCTGTGCAGTGCGCATGCGTGGTGATTCAAGGTGTGGGTGCACAGTGTGCTAAACAGAGCATGTAGTCCTGCTCATGGACATCAGATAGCTGACTGATGGGTCTGCCTTCATACTGATACTGACGCTTCAGTGTGTAAAAAGAAACGTAAGGAAAACGTTTGACCATGTAATCCTATGGACCAGTTTGGTCCCTTGCGTTTAGTAAAATCCTGCTTGCTGCTTTTTTTTGCGCATCTCCCCATTGAAATGCATTGAAGCTGCAGCAAAAACACAACCATTTTTGAGTCACGTCCTATGTAAAACACTCTGCAAATGCGGCAAAAACACATGCTTTTTTGCTACGGATCGGCGGGAAAGTAGCCTAAAATATGAGATCCTGAATGGAAAAAAACATCTGTGGTGCGGCCACATGTGGTGATATGTGATGGATTTGGATGTAAGCAGGGCATTTTTGCAGCAGGAACTTGGTGGAACTCCTTCCATGCAGCACCTCTGGCTCTCACCCTCGACACCCTGTTCACCATTCTCACGTGTAAACACCGGGGCCCAACTTCACTGCTTACAAGGACAGCTTGCCTCTTCCAGTGGCTCCACAGATCCCTCCCTGCCATACAGTCACAGCGCGGACGAGGGAGGTGCAGGTGCTAGTGTTGTGTGGTTATGGGCAGGAGGGGGCGTCCTGTGCTAGACTGCACCCTCTGTGTTCATCTGTTCCCGGGGGTATGAATACAAGCGCCCACAGATAATATTGCTGCAAATCAGAGAGGCAGAGCCCCCTAGAGTAAAATACATGGAAGCTATGAAGACATGGGGGTGTGCAGAGTTCGGGGATGGGGAAGGAGAGCTGAGAAGGTGTCAAAATGTACATAGCACACCCCTGATTCCTGCACCCTGAACACAGTGTAGTCCTGATCCTTGCACTCTGTACGTAGCATACCCTGAACCCTGCACTCTGTATGTAGCATACCCCTGAACCCTGCACTCTGTATGTAGCATACCCCTGAACCCTGCACTCTGTATGTAGCATACCCCTGAACCCTGCACTCTGTACATAGTGCAATCCTAATTCCTGCACTCTGTATGTAGCACACCCCTGAACCCTGCACTCTGTACATAGTGCAATCCTAATTCCTGCACTCTGTACATAGCACACCCCTGATCCCTGCACTCTGTACATAGTGCAATCCTAATGCCTGCACTCTGTATGTAGCACACCCCTGATCCCTGCACTCTGTATGTAGCACACCCTTGAACCCTGCACACTGTATGTAGCATACCCCTGAACCCTGCACTCTGTACATAGTGCAATCCTAATCCCTGCACTCTGTACGTAGCACACCCCTGATCCCTGCACTCTGTATGTAGCACACCCTTGAACCCTGCACACTGTATGTAGCATACCCCTGAACCCTGCACTCTGTACATAGTGCAATCCTAATCCATGCACTCTGTACGTAGCACACCCCTGATCCCTGCACTCTGTATGTAGCACACCCTTGAACCCTGCACACTGTATGTAGCATACCCCTGAACCCTGCACTCTGTACATAGTGCAATCCTAATCCATGCACTCTGTACGTAGCACACCCCTGATCCCTGCACTCTGTAGCACACCCTTGAACCTGCACACTGTATGTAGCCCAACATTGAATCCTGCACTCTGTGTGTAGTGCACCCTTAAAATATGCTATCTGTACATAACACACCCTGAAGCCTGCATAGTGTACTCCTGAACTATGCACTCTGTACACAGCACACCCCTGAACCCTGCACCCTGTACATAGTGCAGTCCTGATCCTTGCACTCTGCACGTAGCACACCCCTGAACCCTGCACTCTGTACATAGCACACCCTAAACCCTGCATACTGTATGTAGCCCAACATTGAATCCTGCACTCTGTGTGCAGTGCACCCTTAGAATATGCCCTCTGTACATAATGCACACTGAAGCCTGTATAGTGTAGTCCTGAACTATGCACTCTCTACGTAGTGCACCCCTGAACCCTGCACTCAATATGCAGCACACTATGGAACCCTGCACCCTGTACATAGTGCATGCTTGATCCCTGCATTCTACGTAGGACATCCCTGAACCCTGCAATCTGTATGCAGCCCACCATTGAATCCTGCACTCTGTACATAGCGCACCCCCCTGAACCCTGAACTCTATACCTAGCGCACTCCTGAATTCTGCGATCTATGTGTAGTGCACCCTTAAAATCCGTCCTCTGTACACAATGCACCCCTGAATTTCATACTCTATATTGTAGGACACCCCTGAACCTTGTAGTCTGTACGTAGTACACTCCTGAGCTATGCGCTCTGTAAGTAGCGCACTCCTGAACCCTGCATTCTATATGCAGCACACTCCGGAACCCTGCACTCTTTACATCGTGCTCTCCTGAACTCAACACTCTGTATGAGGCGCACTCCTGAACCCTGCACTCTGTATGTAGTGCATTTCAAAACTCTGCACTCTGTAAGTAGCGCACTCCTGAACCCTGCATTCTATATGCAGCACACTCCAGAACCCTGCACTCTTTACATCGTGCTCTCCTGAACTCAACACTCTGTATGAGGCGCACTCCTGAACCCTGCACTCTGTATGTAGTGCATTTCAAAACTCTGCACTCTGTAAGTAGCGCACTCCTGAACCCTGCATTCTATATGCAGCACACTCCAGAACCCTGCACTCTTTACATCATGCTCTCCTGAATTCAACACTCTGTATGAGGCGTACTCCTGAACCCTGCACTCTGTATGTAGTGCATTCCTGAACTCTGCACTCTGTAAGTAGCACACCTTTGAACCCTGCAGTCTGTACATAGTGTTCTCTTGAACTATGCACTCTGTATGTACCACACTCCTAAACCCTGCACTCTTTATGCAGAACCCTGCACTCTGTACATAGTGCACTCCTGAACTCAGCAATCTGTATGAGGCAAACTCCTGAACTCTGCACTCTGTGCATAGTGCACTCCTGAACTCTGCAGTCCTATACTCTGCATTCTGCAATTAGCACATCCCTGAACCCTGCAGTCTGTTCATAGTGCACTCCTGAACTATGCACTCCTATACTCTGCATTCTGTAATAAGCACACCACTGAACCCTGCTGTCTGTACGTAGTGCACTCCTGAAGTATGCACTCTGTAAGTAGCACACCCCTGAACCCTGCATTCTATACACAGCACACTCCCTGCACTCTGTACATAGTGTACTCCTGAACTTTGCACTCTGTATGTAGCACATTTCTGAATGCTGCACTCTATGTGTAGTGCACCTCTGAACTCTTACTCTAAGTAAAATTAACTCCTGTTATTTAATATCCCCTTTAGAACTCTCCCACTGCAGTTTGGCCACGCTCATTCTATGTGGTTTGGCAAGGTGGGGGGCATGGTTGAGTTCCTGCACCTATTCTCTGAGAAAAAAATCCCTGGATATAAGTGATTATAAACAAGCAAAATATCAAATAAAATGTAGAATGATGCAACTCATTTTTATTATTATACAGGATTTATATAGCACCAACAGTTTTCACAGAGCTTTACAATGAAAAGGTAGACAGTACAATTACAAAGCAGTTCAAGAGGGTTACGAGGATACTGCTTATAAGAGCTTACAATCTAATAGGTTGGGGAAAGTGGAACAAAAGGTAACTCTGATGGGTGACCTGATGGGAGAATGAAAACATTCCGTTGTAGGTGAAGGAAGCATAGGTCTCTGTGAAGAGATGAGATTTCAGGTATCACCTAAAGGTGGACAGAAAAGTCACAAGAGCTAGCGAGTAGGAAGTCTTGAGTGAAGTGGAAAGGACAGTCTGGGTGATATATTGAAACAAGATTGCTGATGTAGCTCGGGGCAGAGTTATATTGTCTGTGTTTTGAATTGTATTTGTTGAACAGTTGAAAGCCAGTGGAGGGATTGGCAGAGAGAGGTGGAGGACACTGGTTGGTAAGGTGGAAGAGTTTGCCAACAGCGTTCATTAACAACTGAAGAGGGGATAGCTGGTTTAGAGGTAGGCTAGGGAGTTGCAATAGTCAAGGCCGGAGATAACCAGGGAGCAAGTGAGTAGTTTGTTGGTTTCATTGGTTAAGAAGGGGCGTATTTTAGAGATGTTATGGAGGTGGTGTCTGCAAGATTTGGACAATTGGACTTAGGTGTCACGTATCTGGATAGTGAGCCTGACGTGAAGAGGCAGGCCTCCCGTACAACTCTGGCTCAAGGATCGCTGATAGTAGAACAGTGTCCACAGGGGCATGGTGGGGTATGAGTGCTTGTGATCAGTCCAGTAGTAGCCGGTAGGCAGGTGAGCTGCAGGGTAGGCTGAAGGCAGGGAGCAGGATCTGGATGCAGCCATGCTGGATTAAGTGAACACTGAGCAGTGCGTTTGAGGATGCAGGGTCAGACGAGCCGGGTTCGGTAGCAGACGGGCAGATCAGGCATAGACAGAAGGAGGAAGCGTAGTCGGGTCACAGGCCAAGTCAGCAGCGGACGATCAATCAGACAGGAGCAGGAGACAGAAGGGTAATCCAAGGCAAGCCAGAGGTCAGGGCAGGTAGTGATCAAGCGGAGGTCAGGATCAAGCTGGTTCGGTATCAGGAGTCAATCACAGGAATCAGGAGACACAAGCAGGGATAAGACCAAACGGCAATGAGACATTACTGCAGCTAGTTTAAATAGTCCCTTTGGTGCCAGCATTAGTGACAGGTGTGCGCCTGGATGTGCGCTCGTTCCTATGCCCAAGCACCCGCACATCGGCCCGGTTCGTCATAGTTCTGTGCATACTTGTGCACCGCAGATCTTCGCCTGCACTATGGGCAGGCCTTTCCTGACATTAGGGCAGAATGGACAAGTCAGAGTCTAGGAATACACTTAGTACCCTGGCTTGAGGGGATAATAGTTATATTATTGATCTTGATGGAAAAGTCAGAGAGGAGGGCATGGTTGAGGGGATATTACAAACTCAGTTTTAGAAAGATTTAGTCTGAGGAAATGGCATGACATCTGTGCCGATATGTCAGTAAGTTAGTTTCTATCTATTTCTAGCTTCAGTTTGTTCAATTAAAGGGTTAGGTTTCCTTTTCAGAAAAAAATAAAAAGGTGAACTAACACCTTCCCCAACTTCCCAATCCCCTCGGTCCCCCCTATACTTACCTCCATGGGTGATGAGCTGTCAGTGCCCATGCAGCCAGTGTAGTGCTCCGGATATTAAAAATCCCCTGCTCTTCTCTGGGATTTTATGTGCTGGTGCTGACTAATCAGAGAGAGAAGGAGAAGTGGGGATTTCTGATCTCTGGACCGCTACACCAGCTGTTGAGGGCGTAGAGTGGTAATTTACCTACCTGTTCACAATTTTGTTTACAATGTACACTTAGTTGCACATCTGTTATGTCATCACATCATAGCCAACTAAGATGGCCAATGATCCCAAACCTGGAAGAAGACCAGGCAAAGACAATGCCACCAGCGAGGGAGTTCACAGACGTCACATCACTGGAGATGAGGTGAATATAGTTCCCAGGGCTCTTTTTTTTCAGAAATTAGGTGCAGGAACTCAACCACAACCCCTCCCCCCCCCCCCCCCCACACACACACACACACACACACACACATCCTCCAAACCAAATCAAATAGTGGGTGAGATAAAATTTTACTAACAATGGGAAGGTCTTAAAGGGGTAATAAATACCAGGAGTGCATTACGTACAGGGTGCAGAGGGTGTTACACACAGAGTGGTGAGTTCAGGGGTGTGCTACATGCAGAGTTAAGGAGTGCGCTATGTATGTAGTGCAGGGTTCAGGGGTGTACTGCAAACAGAGTGCAGGGTTCAGGGGTGTACTGCAAACAGAGTGCAGAGTTCTGGGCTGTGCTATACATAGAGTGCAGAGTTCTGGGCTGTGCTATACACAGAGTGCAGAGTTCTGGGCTGTGCTATACACAGAGTGCAGAGTTCTGGGCTGTGCTATACACAGAGTGCAGAGTTCTGGGCTGTGCTATACACAGAGTGCAGAGTTCTGGGCTGTGCTATACACAGAGTGCAGAGTTCTGGGCTGTGCTATACACAGAGTGCAGAGTTCTGGGCTGTGCTATACACAGAGTGCAGAGTTCTGGGCTGTGCTATACACAGAGTGCAGAGTTCTGGGCTGTGCTATACACAGAGTGCAGAGTTCTGGGCTGTGCTATACACAGAGTGCAGAGTTTAGGGCTGTGCTACACACACAGTGCAGAGTGGGTATCAGGGCAGAGTTCTGTGCTACACACACAGTGCAGAGTTCAGGGCTGTGCTACACACAGACTTCACACAGAGTTCAGCCTTCTTCCACAGCTGCTTACCTCTGCTTCCACACACCCACACCTCACTTTCACTTCTCTTCAGCTCTGTTCTGTGCATATAACCCCCCTCTTCACTTCACCCATCTTCTCCTGCCTTAAAAGCTCCGCAATCTTTCACATGCCTTACTTTTGTTGCTGTAATAAGCTGAAGCACCCTGCCAGCTTTAGTATCTCCCTGTACACTGTAGGTGGCTCCCGCTCTCTCACTTGCAGGGAGATCACCCAGTGGGGGTGTCTGGCTTCTGTGTTTACAAGTGATAGTGGTGAGTAGGGGCAGAGGGCCTGAGCCAGAGGTGGTGAAACAGTTCCACCAAGTTTCAGCTGATAGTTCCACTTTAGGTTTCTGTAGCATTTGGCTTGTGTCAATGTATTAAGAATCATATCCACTGCATATATATTTTTATCTAACAAAAACCTTTCCTATTAGGATTTTGCCAATCAAAGGGTTGATTACCAGTGCAAATGCCGTAATACTTTTGTCCAATTAATGCAAGTGCAGTAATCCCTACCAAATGCCTCTCCTCTCAGGTATAGGGTGTGAGAAAAAAATGATAATGAATTTTGGGCTAATTCCCAGTTTTCAAAGTACTTCCCATGTATATTCCTATTTGACGCTGGCAAAAGTGCTAACACAAGGGGTCAAAATGATCTTGCGAGCAAGGTGCAAAGTCAATGTGGTCAGTCTCTTTGGAGCATTCAGAACTTTCCTGTTTAAAGCACTATTTTATGTCACCACTTACATATTGGAGTGTTCACAGAGCACAGACATTTCATAGTGGACTTTGTTCATATTTACTATGTGTGACTTGTATACAGCACTGCTATTATTTGTTCTTGCAACATTTCTGTTATCATATACTGTACAGTACAACTGCATGCTACATAATGATATAGGAGTCAAGTAAATAGGTTCAGTTGTTTACCATTTAGATAGATATTCACACTATATAGCGCTGAAGGAGGGTATCAATCTTTTTAATATTTTGCAGGGTATATGTAAATGTGAATGAATACAGTATGTTTCTTCTCCAAGTATTCCTTCTTCTCTCTCCAGCTGGCTGGAACTTGTAGTTTACGGCAACACTGGCTCCATGTAAAACTTTTCTCTCTGGACTACATGTCCCACAATCCCCTCCTCTCAGTAGGGATCTTTCTCTTTCTCTGTTTCCAGGACATGATGTCACAATCACTAGTTTGAACACTGGAGGGAAACAAACTCAAGGGGTAGTCTTTGTTAAGAATGTCCCACGATTATAGACTAGCCATGTCAGGAATCAAGGAATGACCAGAAAGGTGTGGACTGACACAGGGAAACGCAGGTCTCAGGTACAGTATAATACAGTTATTATTAGCCACCCAGATATATATATATATATATATATATATATATATATATATAAACACACAGTGAACAAACCAACCTTCCATAATCTTAGGAGGTGCAGGAACACAGGCGTAGTCAGGGCTGGAGAGGTGGGAACGGTCAGGCCGGCCGTAGGGTTCTGTACTGACCGTTTGGTGGTACCTCTAGCGGTCCTCAGGACAGGATTCCCCAGGGCGCGGAGTCTAAGTCCCAGTCTGCTTATTCACCAGGGCCCTGATGGTGGGGATGGACTTGGAGCAGACAGGAACCAGGTCACGGCCCCTGCGTACACCTGCTAGTGGTAGAGGGATCCGCCAGAGGTATGTGCAGGTACGGCTGGATCCGTGCAGGATGGATGGATGGCAGAGTAGTTAGCGTGGTCAAACGGGCCAAGTCAGCAACGTGCGGGCAGCAAGGTACCAAAAGGAGCAGGCAGAGAATGGTCAAGGTCACAAGCCAGGTTCAGTAACTCACGGAC